GTGTCATGGAAAATATTCTGAAAAGTACAACACGATCTTCAGTATATTTGATACAATCATGGAAGTAATAGAATGCTGTTTCAAATCAAGTAGGACTGTATGAAATTTTATACTACTCTATCCAAGAATGCTACTCGTCAAATATCATCAACAAGGGCGATTCCTGAGAAAGTTGTTTAAAGGTTTGGTTTAGTTTGGTTTAATTTTGTTTAACGTCCTATTAACAGCTAAGGTCATTTAAGGCGTGCTTGCTTGTTTGTATGCAGGAGACAGGGTAATTTGGTGTGCTTACGTCCTTGTGATAGCGTGGATCTGATGCCGACTTTATAGTGCTATCTCACTGAAATACATGCTGAAGGCACCAAGCACAGCATTCTGCCCGGTCACATTATACTGATAACGGGTGAACCAGTTGTTGCCATTCCCCTAAATGCTGAATGATAAGCAGAGAATAACAAACACCATTTTCTGGACTTTGGTATGTCCCGGCCTTGGGACAGAACTCATTGCCTTCCTCACCTGGACGAACGCTCATTATTAAGGCCAAGGGTGAGGTTTGCCAAGCAAGGCGCAAGGAAATAAAAGTTAGTTAGAAATAGAAAGAAAGATAAAGATCCCAAATGTTGCATTGGGTGTAGCAGATTTATTTTGTCGCTTTTGTGTCCCCAAATAGAGGAAATAAAAGTGAATCCCCAATTCCGCAGGGGGTTCCCACGTTAGTCGCCTCGTACGATACATGCAGTGGTCCGGGTAACAGCAGATGTATTCTTTTCCCGATCCCCCACCTGCAGGGGAGAAGATATTTACATATTTGACCCATTTGACCTTGAAAGTAGATCAAGGTCTTTATTTGAGAAAACTTTATATCACTATGTCCAGGTACCTATAGGCTGAATATCATTGCTCTAGACCTCTTGGTTATTCAAAAGAAGATGTTTAAACGTTTATAACACGTTTAACCCCTGTGACCTTGAAAGTAGGTTGAGGTCATTTATTTGAGGAATTTTATATCGCTCTGTCTCGGGTACCTTCTGGCCAAGTAACAGTATTCTGGAACTTCTGGTTATTCTGAAGAAGATCTTTAAAAGTTTTAAAAACATTTGACCCTTGTGATGTTTAAAGTGGGTCAATGTCATTTTTTAAGAAAACTTTATAGCACTACATGCCAGGTACCTACTGGCCAAGTATTATTACTGTGAACCTCCTTGTTATTCAAAAGAAGTTCAAAGGATTTTACATATCTAACCCCTGTGACCTTGAAAGTAAAGTAAGGTTGTTTATTTGATGAGACTTATAGCACTCTATCCCAGGTACCCATTTGCCAAATATCATGGCCCTAGGTCTTTCAGTTCTAAAGATATTCAAAGAAAAAGTTAACGGACGACGGACGGACGATGGACAACACACCATACTATAAGCTCAACTGGCAAGCTAAAAAACAAGTTGTCAAATTTGTCTGAATTGCTCACCTTTATTGAGTATCATTGGCAATCACATTTCTGACCTTGAAATTGGGTAAAGGCAAGTCACCAGGAAGGATACAACTGTTGATGATCCTGGTGATGGTGGAATCTCTCAAGGTTGGATTATACTGTATTATTCCTGGTGATGACATCCTTCCTGGTGATGCTGTCCGTCCTAGTGGTGGCATCAGTCCTGTTTGGGTCCCACAACAGGACTGAAAATAGCCGTAGAAGGGACCCCACCACCTTAAATGACACCACTTCTGGTAAGGACACCATGCTATGCCAGGCGCGCTGCAACCACCAGGAACAACACCACCACATGGAAGAACATTACAACAAGTACCGACAAAACCACAAGAAGTGAAGACAACAGTAGGATGGACACCACCAACACCAAAACTAAAGGATTCCACAGCAAGGATTGACACAAACACTAGGAAGGACAAAAACACCTGGAAGGATCTGACACCATCAGCAGGGGGCACACCACCACTGGTAAGAGAACACCATTGCTAGAAGAGATGCACCACCAGGAACCACACCACCACATGACGACATCAACACAAGCACTAATGAAACCACAAGAAATGAGGACAACAGCAGGAAACTTATAAGTAGGGGCAAACAAGAAGGGGGGAGGGGGGGGGCGGTAAACATTTAGTTGGGATAAAGTAGGGTATAACATAGGTGAGGGCTACAACTAGGAGGTAACAAGAAGGAGGTTAATAGGATGGAGCTAACAACTTGGGAGGGGAGCAATAATTAGGGAGTTATCGGGAAGTGGTGGGCTGATAGCTAGAGGGCTAACAGGTAGGAAGCACATCAATATGAGTGTTAATATGAGGCAGTAATGGTTAGGGGTTTACAGGAAGGGGGCTACAAATATGAGGCTAACAGGTGTGGGCTTCTGGAAAAGAGGCTCGTTGTTGTGGGTGTAAAAGCTTGCGGATGGAGCGGTGGTGAGAAAGATAATGGGCAAAGAGCTAGAATATAGGAGGGCCACTGGGTCCAGAGGTTATTGGAGAGCTGTCAGACTAGGAACGTGGTAATTAGGTTAGGGGGCTAATATGTAAAGGGGTTAACAAATACATGGGCTTACATGTAGGGGCTACAACTTAGAGGGGGTAACAAGAAGGAGGTTATTAGAATGGAGCTAACTGCTGGGTTGGGGTGGGGGGCACCAATTAGGGGTTTATTAGTAAGTGGGCTAATAGCTAGAGGGCTAACAGGTAGGAAGCACATCCATATGAGTGTTAATGTGAGGCAGTAATGGTTTGGGTTTACCGGTAGGGGGCTAACAGGTGTGGGCTTATGGAAAGGAGGCTCATTGTTGTTGGTGTTTAAGCTTGCGGGTGCAGTCCTGATAAACATAATGGGCAGAAGGTTAAAACATAGGAGGGGCAATGGGTTCAGGGGCTATTTTGCATGTAGAGCTGTCAGAACAGGGATGTGGTAATTAGGCTAGGGGGTTAATAATTACAGGGGTCAACAAGTACAGGAGCTTACATGTGGGGGCTACAACTATATGGGACATTAAGTAGGGGGTTATTATGTATTTGGCAACAACGGCTAATAGTTAAGAGGAACAACAACTAGGGAGTTAGAGGGCTAATTGGTATGAGTCAGTGTTAACATGAAGGGGGTAAATATTAAAAGGCCAATGGTTAGGGAGCAGGGCCAATATTGAAGGGGTTTCAGGTAGATAAAAACACTTTTGCAAATATTTCCATATAAAAATGTTCCAGACTATATGAAATGTTATACTACTCTATCCAAGAATGCTACTCGTCAAATATCATCACCAAGGGCGATTCCTGAAGAGGTTGTTTAAAGGTTTGGTTTGGTTTAGTTTTGTTTAACGTCCTATTAACAGCTAAGGTCATTTAAGGACTTGCCTCCATGTCTGCAGTGTATGCGTTTTTGCGTGTGTGTATGCAGGAGACAGGGTAATTTGGTGTGCTTGCCTTCTTGTGATAGCGTGGATCTGATGCCGACTTTATAGTGCTATCTCACTGAAATACCATGCCGAAGGCATCAATCACAGCATTCTGCCCGGTCACATTATACTGATAACGGGTGAACCAGTTGTTGCCATTCCCCTTAATGCTGAATGTTAAGCAGGGAATAACAACTACCATTTTTAAGGACTTTGGTATGTCCTGGCCTGGGAACAGAACTCATTGCCTTCCTCACCTGGGCGAACGCTCAACATTAAGGCCAAAAGTGAGGTTTGCCCAGCAAAGCGACAGGAAATAACAGGAAATAACCACTGTATTATTTCAAAAGATTCGTCTCCTTCCAGCAAAGTGAACGTAATGTGCTGCCATGTTGTATATTACTTGGCTTGCAATCTGAACCGGTCACTTCATGGACGGGGTATTATAAATATATCCAGCATAAATGATTAACGGTTGAATACACAAATTAATACAATAATGCATATATAATTAAATTGTTATATTTTTAATTATTTACTAATCCTCTAATTACATTTTAATGTTATTAGTCGCAATCTGTTAATTTAACTGCATTTAATCGACCAATGCGTCGATGAAATACAATTGAATAAAATAAACCGCTTTCCAGTGAAGATGCCCCGAGTGTAATTCGGGTAGTAATAGCGACAGCCTTTATTATTTCTCGACCATCTGATATCGCCTCTACGCTCTTGTGTTGACTAGGGCAAGAGTCTTCCTCAAATTTCATTGCGATATTGTAAACTCCTTTTATGTCTTTTCTTCTTGTAGTAAATTTAGGTTTCGTAGTCAGCTTCAATCTGAGCATAGAGCGTAAGTGAGCGTAACCCCTGGATGATCGAAAATGAGTTAATTTCTACCTAAACGGATTTCTTGACTTGTCTCGCTCCTTTACGTTCTTGTTTTTCACTGTAGATTCTTTCAGTCCTGGTAACTTTGAGTCGAACATCCCTTTATTCACATATCTTCTTGCGTCATTCTTCTCCCTTGTCGATAACTACATCCATTCACCTCGGTATGTTTTCCTGGACCCTAGCATTATCTCGCTAAACTCACTTATGGCGCGGTTAAAGACTTGTAATGATTACTCCGTTTCATTAAGTAGATGTTGAATGTGAGATTGAACCTCTCCCCCTTAGTTTAATGAATTAATTTGTATCAAAGCGTTATTGTTAATTAATGGTGACTAATTGTTAAAAAATATAATCAAAATAATAACGTGACAGTTAGATTTTTAAAAAGTGACAGAGGATCCTACGAATCTCTTGACAATCGAACTGAAAGGCGGGAAGGCCATGTTCACATTTTGGTAGTTGTAGGGATTAAGTACAGACGACGTAGAATTTAAAAAAGATGTTATAAATATATATCTCGGTGTGCTTTCGAATTTTAAATACTATATGATGAATCGTGATATGGTGACAGAAGAGACTTAACTATAGTAAGTGATCGTCCATCTCTGTAATGGCTTCCGTTGTATTGACATTGCCTTGTCCGTCATACTCGACCTAGCCGCCATACCTGACCGTTTAACAACCAGTTGCTGTTCGTGTTCCAGCTGTCTATGTTCCCGTCCTACTGTATACCTACTACTACGGACTGATGGACCACTCGGGAGTCAAGATGGACGCTTTTTGGCCTTGGCAACCGCCCTCCCAGTTCCATGACAACCACCATAAGTAAGTCATCGTTCATTCCAACGCTTTCAGGATCCTTTGTCTAGTTTGGTAAAACCTTTGTCTTTTAAGGAAGTATAGAAATACTTATTTGTTTGGACAGTGAAACAGTTTCTGTTTTATTTAATTTCAATATTTTTTTATTATACATAAGCTTGCTATCGTGAAGTTACTGGTCTATAATTAGTGACATCATTGGACGAACAATTTCCTTTATAAGTGGTATTTATATTAGCTTGTTTATAAGTGGTATTTATATGAGCTTGTTTACAAGTGGTATTTATATTTGCTTGTTTATAAGTGGTATTTATATGAGCTTATTTATAAGTGGTATTTATATTAACTTGTTTATAAGGTGTATTTATATGAGCTTATTTATAAGTGGTATTTATATAAGATTGTTTATAAGTGGTAATTATATTAGCTGGTTTATAAATGGTATTTATATAAGCTTGTTTAAAAGTGGTATTGATACTAGCTTGTTTATAAGTGGTATTTATATTAGCTTGTTTATAAGTGGTATTTATATGAGCTTGTTTATAAGTGGTATTTATATTAGCTTATTTATAAGTGGTATTGATACTAGTTTGTGTATGAGTGGTATTTATATGAGCTTGTTTATAAGTGGTATTTATATAAGCTTGTTTTTAAGTGGTATTTATATGAGCTTGTGTATAAGTTGTATTTATATGAGCTTGTTTATAAATGGTATTTATATTAGCTTGTTTATAAGTGGTATTTATATTAACTTGTTTATAAGTGGTATTTATATGAGCTTGTTTATAAGTGGTATTGATACTAGCTTGTTTATAATTGGTATTTATATTAGCTTGTTTATAAGTGGTATTTATAATATGAAAAGGAAAAGCCTTAAAAGAGCGTAGCTTTTGTTGATCTCTGATATTTACTGATTCAGAATACTGAATATTCAAAATGAAATAAGATAAACCTTTTTTAAAGTCGGCAAGTCGGGGAATAACAATAAAACACAAACTCTAATGAGATTAAGACCGATATAACAATAGGGGAGACCGGGGCAAGTTCGACCTTTTTTTTTTTATTTAAGTCCGTTGTGGGAAGTATGGCATCGCGTCCGATTTTGAACATGATTTAACTTTCCTATCGGAAGATCGGATAGCCGAACGAGCCCCGCCATGGGGTAAGTTCGGACAGGCATTCGGGTAAGTTCGGCCCCCATTAAGATCAGCTTAATTATGTAGTCATAAAGCATGCAACGTCAGATTTTACCGCTAATTTTACGACTTTTTATGTGTTACATGGGCCGAACTTGCCAAGGTATCATTGGCCGAACCTGTTCGGGTTCGAATTGATATTTCAATAAATTCTTATCGTACTGCAATATGGTAGTGAGTGATTGGCTTGACTTCTATGTATATCATTTGAAGCTGTCGGTGTGTAACACGTTTGACCGTAAAAAAGTAGCAATCCTGTTTCAAAAAGTTCGCATAACTAGAAGCGAGATCATGATTTTCTTTCTACCCTCTCAAACGTAATTTTCTTCTGTTTAGTAATTTTGCATTAGAGTATTCCTTGCCATTTTGTCGTAGAATGCCCAGCCAACTAAACTGCTAAGATTCGTAAAGTTGTTAATATTAGCTCAAAAACAAAAATATCAGGGGTGGCCGAACTTGCCCTGGTCTCCCGTATGTAGATTTTTTTGTATCGTTGATGATTGATAAAAATGTATCCACAATACAATTTTTGCATCAATGACGCAGTTGTCTTCCAGTCAAAGCTAAAGTAGATATTTGTTCTTGTGCGTTACGTATATGATGGGTTGGGTGGCGCAGTTGATAGTGCGCTCGTCTTCACCAATATGGCCGGATTCAATTCCGGTCACCTGCCCGTCCACGCAGGTTTTCTCAGGATACTCCAACTTCCTCCCATATTAGGAATTAAATCCTCTGCGCGCTTCCGTCAGGGCACAAAAAGAATGATTGAGATTAGCTGGGGAAAAACTGTTTGGTAATTTCTATAGAAAAAAGTGCATGTTACATATTTGACGACTAGTCAAAGAAAATGTATAGAGATGTAAGTTGCAAAAATTAAAATTGAAAAAAAGAAAACATTGTAATACTTTGATGTAACTGAGATTGTCGTTATATCGATAGGTAGTCTCAATTACCCTTCTATCCTAAAACACTGGATTGAATTTCAAATTTTGTAACTGTCACCGAGGTTTGACAGGTAATGATGCCAAATAAAATTAAACAGTTTCTGTCTGTAACTAGTTAGATATCGGCACGCGTTGTAAAAAAGTAATACGTTGCTGAATGTCTGCAGAATTATTGTTGATTTCGACATATATGCATTTTCCATTGTTTCTTTTATGAGTGGTGATGCATAAATAAATAATGTAAAGACTATAAACAGACTTTCAAAAATGTTAATTATTTCGTTCATATTCTCATCAAATGGAAATCAAAAGATGATGAAAAATAAATGTACACGTTGACCTATTGGTTTAATACCGGCTCTTTTTTAAGATATCTCCCAGTAAAAATATTAACAGAACCGGGTTGATAACAAAAAGGATCTTCAGAAAATATCCGCATTTTTACTTTTTGTGCATGTGGCAAAAACAGAAATAAAAAGTCTTGAAACACCGACAAAGAGATAATTGCAACGGACATCAGTTCCAGGATTTCCCGGTTATTTTTCATCCTTCCGGAAATAACCGATGAAGGCCGATGGGTTGTGACGTGCTTTTGACGTCTTAGTATGACAATCTCTAAACGAAGTTACATGTAGTATCTTTTATGTGATAGACATTTTTTTCACTCACAATGTATATTAGTTTTTATCAAAATAAACAAGTAATAAAACATGAAGATTGTTTTCACTCTATGCAGAAATTCATGTATGGATTGAAACACAATTGTCATTGCTTCAAGGATACACTTCCGGTTTCACCACTGGACGTCTAATAATTAAAGGCAACGTGTAGTAAGGGGAAGCAACTCTGTTTACGCACGCATGTGTTACCATTAAAGAGCTTCGCTTGGGCGCTTTCGGCGCCCGAGAGCTACGTTCTTATTAGCTTGTTTCCAACTATTGAGTAGCACACATGCATCAATTGTTTTATTGAGTTAAAGCATATGAGGGACAATCTTAGGGAGACAATGACATTCTTAATGATTTGAGAAATATCTCCATCTCCATGAGGCTTATTTTAAATAAGATTTTGATTCGATCAGCTGTAATGTTTAGTACTATGGGTCTTTTTGTTGATGCGAAAGGGGTGAAGGGTTGAGGTAACAGGGGATATAATGTCAAGTTTCTGTCTTATATTCGGATACATAACACTCATCCTCATCATAATTTTTACTGTTATTAATGTCAGTAGATCAAATATCATATCCAACATGGCTTTAATTGTATTTCGGATTTAATTTTCATCAATTGTCGTGATACACATATCTAAAAAAGAATTCTTCGGACAGATGATGAGTAACAATAATAAGGAAATGAAGTTATACTACAGTTATATTCAATCCTTTCCGCCATCATGCAAAAAACAAGACACGAAATGACATGTCAAATTTTATTTCAGGTATTTCCATGTAAACTTCGGTTTCAACTCCTATCTGTTTGATTGGCTACATAGCACCTTGGACAGACCAGACAGAGAATATGGCGAGCATATCTTCGGGGGTTACGGTAAACCTAAAACCAAACCCATATCAAAGGTTCAATAGCCGCCATCAGTCCGACGTCATTTGTTAATTGTATTTATTTCATTGTATTTGTTTCAACGTGATGTTATTTATTTGTTTTGTTATGACACGTTACAGTTTCTGTCCCCGCATATTGATATTTACGGAAAGCTTAACACTTTAAGTTAAGTTAGTAGTGAGGAATGTTCCCTGTATCCACTGCTCACTTCAAAGGCCGATACAGTCATGCCAGTTTAAATAATATTACATTTTACATGAAACTTTTATTTGTTTCGTCATCTTATATTAAAATGAAACATCAGTTTACCATTAAAGTATCAATATCACTAGTCAAAAGATTTTAAGATGATCATACCAAACTTAAAATTAATTTAATGCTATCAATAATGAATGTTGTTTAGAATCTAACATTAAATCATCACTCTTTACACGTACATCCTTACAAATGACAGCATTATAACAGTAGCAAACGTTACTCTGTTTGTTTTACCCCTATTGTATGGAGTTAGAATATTCTTATAGACAAAATGACATATTACTGTCACTTATATTTCAAAGTCTGGTATTTCTTCACTAACTAGAGCGGCGATGGTTTTATTTTTTGTATGGTATACCTGAGGAGATAGTGTTCATTTTGCTAAGTCATACTGCTTTCTTAGTTTCTTCTTCTTTACTAAAATTTTGTAATACTCCTTAGAGTAAGAAACATAATGTGCTTTCTTGCCACACTTGCCAATCCATATCCTGCTTTAGGGTATCACTGATATTATTTCGTTGCCAGTTATCGACACGTAAAGAGTGGGTTAGTATCATGTATCATAACTAAATATAGTGTTAGTATATAGTGTAACATATATATAGTTTGTGTTAGTATATAATAACATAGATCTAGTACGTGTAAGTATATAGTAAAATTACGTCTAGAGTGTTAATATATAGTAACGTACATCTAGTTCGTGTTAGTATATATAGTAACATTACATCTAGAACGTGTTAATATAAAGTAACGTATATCTAGTTCGTGTTAGTATATATAGTAACATTACGTCTAGAATGTGTTAATATATAGTAACATAGATCAAGTACGTGTTAGTATATAGTAACATTACGTCTAGAGTGTGTTAATATATAGTAACATAGATCTAGTTCGTGTTAGTATATATAGTAACATTACATATAACGTGTTAATATAAAGTAACGTATATCTAGTTCGTATTAGTATATATAGTAACATTACGTCTAGAATGTGTTAATTTATAGTAACATAGATCAAGTACGTGTTAGTATATAGTAACATTACGTCTAGAGTGTGTTAATATATAGTAACATAGATCTAGTACGTGTAAGTATATAGTAACATTACATCTAGAATGTGTTAATATATAATAACATAGATCTAGTACGTGTTAGTATATAGTAACCTTACGTCTAGAGTGTGTTAATATATAGTAACATAGATCTAGTACGTGTAAGTATATAGTAACATATCTGGAGTGTGTAATATATAGTAACATAGATCTAGTACGTGTAAATATATAGTAACATTACATCTAGAATGTGTTAATATATAATAACATAGATCTAGTACGTGTTAGTATATAGTAACCTTACGTCTAGAGTGTGATAATATATAGTAACATAGATCTAGTACGTGTAAGTATATAGTAACATTACATCTAGAATGTGTTAATATATAATAACATAGATCTAGTACGTGTTAGTATATAGTAACCTTACGTCTAGAGTGTGATAATATATAGTAACATAGATCTAGTACGTGTAAGTATATAGTAACATTACATCTAGAATGTGTTAATATATAATAACATAGATCTAGTACGTGTTAGTATATAGTAACATTACATCTAGAGTGTGTTATATATAGTAACATAGATATAGTACGTGTTAGTATATAGTAACATTACGTCTAGAATGTGTGAATATATAGTAACATAGATCTAGTACGTGTTAGTATATAGTAACATTACGTCTAGAGTGTGTAATATATAGTAACTTAGATCTAGTACGTGTACGTATATAGTAACATTACGTCTAGAATGTGTTAATATATAGTAACATAGATCTAGTACGTGTTAGTATATAGTAACATTACATCTAGAGTGTGTAATATATAGTAACATAGATCTAGTACGTGTAAATATATAGTAACATTACATATAGAATGTGTTAATATATAGTAACGTAGATCTAGTTCGTGTTAGTATATATAGTAACATTACATCTAGAATGTGCAATATATAGTAACATAGATCTAGTACGTGTAAGTATATAGTAACATTACATCTAGAGTGTGTAATATATAGTAACATAGATCTAGTACGTGTAAGTATATAGTAACATTACATCTAGAGTGTGTAATATATAGTAACATAGATCTAGTACGTGTAAGTATATAGTAACATTACGTCTAGAATGTGTTAATATATAGTAACATAGATCTAGTCCGTGTTAGTATATAGTAACATTACGTCTAGAGTGTGTTAATGTATTGTAGCATAGATCTAGTTAGTGTTAGTATATAGTAACATTACATCTAGAGTGTGTTAATATAAAGTAACATAGATCTAGTTAGTGTTCATACAACATTTTAGTAACACTACGTCTAGATTGTGTTAATATATGGTAGCATGAGATAATAAGCGTAAGTATGTAATAACATTACATGAATGTTGTGTTCCATATATTAACATAATGTTTAGTTTATGTTGATATATAATAACATTGCGTGTATTTAGTGGTTAATATATAATAATATTACGTGTTTTTTTTACACAAATTATGGTTTAAATAAGAGTTCAGCAAAGTAACATGACGTTTTTTGCCATATAATAACATAGGAATACCTCTTACATTTTGTGAATGCAAATATGCAGCTCTACAATTTCTTATTTATCAAAATTACATGTATATGCTAGTATTTGCCATAACTCAGAAGTGGAATTATTTTTATTTATCAAAATTACATAAATTAGCTAGTTTGCCATTATTCAGGAACTGAAATTAGTTTAACTCCTACAGAAACATTTAGTGATAAAATGCGAACTCAAACAATTTGTTTGAAATAATAGTATGCCTGTATTAATTGTTCAGTAACTACCGTTACGTTGGTCACTGATTGCACAGACAGTATAACGATTGTAAATATCTGTCAGAGAAACGTCTATGATATCTTGTATTCATTTGCCTCCACAGCGATGTAGATAAAGATTCATCTTGAATAAATGACAAGCAGATTACCTCCCTTGATAAAAGTCAAATTATAATCAAAATATGTTTACAGTAATATTTTTTAAAAACATTTCTCTCCATCATTTCCAAATACAATTATGACTGATAACAGGTTTATTAAAACACACATCAGAGCAGTAACCTAAATAGTCTCATTAATACTTGTGTTACGTAGTAAATGTCATTAACGTTTTACAATATTTAATTGATTTATATTTCCATCCATTATAGTACTATGATTTCTGTTCCTGTTAGATCAGAACCCTTTTTTCAGTTGAGTATTTATAGATATGTTGGGACTTTATTTGTAAAAGGTAAATTACATTTTTTGGACAGAAAAAACAGGCATCATCTTAGGTGGTTTCTGGTCAGGATTTAGTCAGGTCAGGGATGTTGAAAAAGGGAGAAAATGAGAGACAAACAAGATCGTTTGAATAAGTTGCATAGGATTGATATTGACTCCCCTATACGTGTTAATCCTCTGTTGTTACGAGTACGTGTATCAGCGTTAATCTTCTTTAGTTACATGAACCAGTACGTGCATCGGCGTTTATCCTTTGTAGTTACGAGTACGTGTATCAGCGTTAATTCTCTGTATTTACGAGTACGTGTATCAGCGTTAATCTTCTTTAGTTACGAGTACCTGTATCAGCGTGTATCATCTTTAGTTACGAGTACGTGTATCAGCGTTTATCCTCTGTAGTTACGAGTACTTGTATCAGCGTTAATCCTCTGTAGTTACGAGTACGTGATTCGGCGTTTATCCTCTGTAGTTAGGAGTACGTGTATTGGCGTTAATCCTCTTTAGTTACGAGTACGTGTATCAGCATTAATCCTCTTTATTAACGAGTACGTGTATCAGCGTTAATCTTCTTTAGTTACATGTACGAGTACGTGTATCAGCGTTAATCCTCTGTAGTAACGAGTACGTGTTTCGTTGTTAATTCTCTTTATTTACGAGTACGTGTATCAGCGTTAATCCTCTTTAGTTACGAGTACGTGTATCGGCGTTAATCCTCTTTAGTTACGAGTACGTGTATCGGCGTTAATCCTCTGTAGTTACGAGTACGTGTTTCGTTGTTAATTCTCTTTATTTACGAGTACGTGTATCAGCGTTAATCCTCTTTAGTTACGAGTACGTGTATCGACGTTAACCTCTTTAGTTACGAGTACGTGTATCAGCGTTTATCCTCTGTAGTTACGAGTACGTGTATCGGCGTTAATCCTCTGTAGTTACGAGTACGTGTTTCGTTGTTAATTCTCTTTATTTACGAGTACGTGTATCAGCGTTAATCTTCTTTAGTTACATGTACGAGTACGTGTATCAGCGTTAATACTCTGTAGTAACGAGTACGTGTTTCGTTGTTAATTCTCTTTTTTTACGAGTACGTGTATCAGCGTTAATTCTCTTTAGTTACGAGTACGTGTATCGGCATTTATCCTCTGTAGTTAGGAGTTCGTGTATCGGCGTTAATCCTCTTTAGTTACGAGTACGTGTATCGACGTTAACCTCTTTAGTTACGAGTACGTGTATCAGCGTTTATTCTCTGTAGTTACGAGTACGTGTATCAGCGTTAATCTTCTGTAGTTACGAGTACGTGTATCAGCGTTAATCTTCTGTAGTTACGAGTACGTGTATCAGCGTTAATCTTCTGTAGTTACGAGTACGTGTATCAGCGTTAATCTTCTGTAGTTACGAGTACGTGTATCAGCGTTAATCTTCTGTAGTTACGAGTACGTGTATCAGCGTTAATCTTCTGTAGTTACGAGTACGTGTATCAGCGTTAATCCTCTGTAGTTAGGAGTACGTGTATCGGCGTTAATCCTCTTTAGTTACGTGTATCAGCGTTTGTCCTCTGACGTTACGAGTACGTGTATCAGCGTTAATCATCTGTAGTTATATGTACGTGTATCAACGTGTATCCTCTGTAGTTATATGTATGTGTATCAACGTGTATCCTCTGTCAACCTCCGTCAACCTGTATGACGATTCCATTCTCTCCTAGAATGCAATCTGAAGGGTTTTATTAAATAAGGGTAATAAGGAGGCTTGTACGTATCATAATGATCTGTGACGTCGCAGTTATACTGATATATATTGTGTGAACGAGTGATTAAACCTCTGTTTCATGATGAAATTCTTCTATTTAGATTGAGGTGAACAGTACTAAGCAGAGTCTACTTGTTTTGGGTGTACGTTATAGGGTATTTTTGTCTGCTACTTCTGGATGGACTGAATCGAGTAATTTTGCCTGTTTGTTGTGTGTGTACTTTGAAAGGTACTTTTGTCTGTTGGATTCATTTGTAATGTACAGGGTACCTCTGTTTTTTTGTTTTGTGTCTACTGCATTGAGTCATTGTGTTTTCCTGTTCGTTGATTCCATACGGAATAGCTTTGTCTTTTATTTTCGTTATTCGTAAATGCTTTAGGTATTAAGGAAATGTATGATTTTTGTCTTAAATCAACTAGTTTTTTGCTGCTGATTTGATATTTATTCTGAAAAATGTAAATCATGAAATAAAGTTGTATGATGATTCTATTTCTCCAAATGAAATAGAATTTGATTGACTTTATGTGATTTTGTATACATGTATGTGTTATGGTTATGATTGTAGTGTTGATGTGTTCCACCACAGTGAGCACTATTTGTACACTGTGTGTACTATAGAGCGCCGTACTGTATTGTTTTACAAATAATATAGTGCGCCATATATAAATTGTATATTATCATTATTATCATGTAGGAACATTGAGTTGCAATGCAGATGATTACAAAGTTGAATGAAGATTAATTTTCCACCAAAGAAAATATATCTGATTGACTTTATAACATGGGCATGCAGAGCAGAATGAGTGAGTTGCAAACTCGAAAACTTACAAAGTTGAATGAAGATTAATTTTCCACAAAAGAAAATATATCTGATTGACTTTATGATAAGGGCATGCAGAGCAGAATGAGTGAGTTGCAAACTCGAAAACTTACAAAGTTGAATGAAGATCAATTTTCCACAAA